CCAATAAATTGTGTTACCGGTTTACATACCGATCACATAGCAGTGAAAATCACTTAGATTGGTGCCATATAAAGTATATCTTCCATACCTCTGATTGTTTAGATGCGATTTTTTATATAAGTATGTAACTCCTCTATCGATGTATGCAGATGTATTCAAAATCAGTAAACTGTCAAACTAAAATTTGCAGATGTTCATGAAAGGTATGAAGCCTTCGGCATAGCCGAAGACAGCGCTGCTCTTACTTGTTTTGTTCTAATGTTATTACTAAGACGTCTAATAAATGCATGGCTTTTAGTTCTAGAAGAATCAACGCCAGTAAAGACCAGTATTTTTTGTATAATTTCTGCATTTTAATTTCTCAACTTAGTTTGCACCAGAGCAACTGTCAAAAATTTCCAACAGTAAAAAGTTACGAATTGGCACAGCAGAAATGTAAAATTTGCTCACTATAATAAGAAGTTTTATCACCATGGAACTTTTCTACTAATTGACATGAAATTACTATCTCAACGCTCGCAGCAGTGCCACGAGGGCCTTGCCAACTGATAAAAAAGAGAAAATTTGGAACGATCAAACAAAAATATTTAGATTTGTAGTTGTGAATACGAACGCCATAATTTTTACCTAGCTCGTGGGACTGCGCTAAATTATGGCAGCTTGTAAATATGTATACACATAAGGTTGTATACAAATGAATACATTGCTTGTATTACCATCAATACGCCATCTATAAATTTGAACAACACACAAAAATAGAGCTTTCCACGAGCGTTTGTTTGGTTTTTCAACACTATATCACAGCGCACGGCAATGCGCGCGAGTGACGAAAGCAGCCACAGTAGCATGCTGAAATGACTCGCTTATATCGTCGATCCCTACGAAGAGTAGCACATTTCACTATACGCGTGGAAGACTAGCACATTTCACTATTAGCGTGGAAGACTAGCACATTTCATTATTCGCGTCGAAAAGAAGCACATTTCAGATTTTTGCGTGGAATAGTAGCACATTTCATTATTTGCGTGGAAGACTAGCACATTTCAGATTTTTGCGTGGAAGAGTAGCACATTTCAGATTTTTGCGTGGAAGACTAGCACATTTCAGATTTTTGCGTGAAAAAGTAGCACATTTCACTATTTGCGTGGAAGAGTAGCACATTTCAGATTTTCGCGTGGAATAGTAGCACATTTCACTATTTGCGTGGAAGAGTAGCACATTTAGGGTTTAAACTATATCATAAAAACATAATTTATATTGGAAATTCAAGTGGTTATTTTGTGTTTCTATAATTCTATTATAAAATTCTTGAAATTCAGACGGTATATAGCGTTTAGTGATCATTTGCTGGAGATCATCCACTTTTCTTTTTTTTTTAAGGCATATTTCCCCTTCAAGCTTTATGCAATTCATATTGTTTTATGGTTAACCATTTAAATTTTGTTTTCAGTATGTTCAATTTAAATTAAAATAAAGTTCATTTAAAAAAAAACCAAGTAAACCCACGCTTAAAATTTTGTAGAAATCTAAACAAAAAATCAACTAATTTTCATTCAAATTTCAAATCTATTTACTCACAAGTGTTGCAATTTTTTTGAGTATGAAGCTTTATAGCCGATTCAATTTTAGTGTGATAATGTGCAAGTTTCAAGAGCCTTAAAACCTTTGATTCCTTTCGTCGCATTTGCTACCATATAACGAATAAACACAATTTATTTTTATATGGAAGAAAACCGCAACAACCGAAATTTTTAGCCACTTAAAACTTGCACATTATTGCAATAAAATTGAAAGGGCTTTAAATCTATATACTCAAAAAATTCTGAGAAAACAATTTTGACCTTTGGATGAACATTTTTAGATTTTTTTAGTTTTCTACAAAATTTTAAATTTGGACAAAAATCAAAAAA